TATATATATATATATTATAAATATATATATATTTCCTAGAAATTTTGAAATCATGCATAGATGGAGAAAACTGTGTAGGGTACACTTTGAATATATTTCCTATACTGTTCATGTTTTCTTCAGGTTTTGGTTCCCATGTGTTGATTCATACTCTGAATTATGTACGTGGAAATTAGAATTTACAGTAGATGCTGCAATGGTAGCTGTTTCCAATGGAGATTTGGTGGAGACGGTGTATACCCACGATATGAGGAAGAAGACTTTCCATTACATGCTTACCATTCCAACAGCAGCGTCAAATATCTCCTTGGCCATTGGACCTTTTGAGATACTTGTAGATCCATATATGCATGAGGTAAGTCCTATCTTCCCCCTTACCCTTATCGCACCCTTCCAATCCCAATAAAAAGAAGGGTATTAATGAAATGATTAATTTTCTTTAACTATTCATTTTCGTATCAAGGACATCACTTGAAAGAAAATGTTTCTTTTGCTGATATACGTAATGATACGAATTCTTGAACGAATTCCTTTCAAAATGTTGTCCTATTAAATTTCAGATCTTAGGGTTCACACAGGGCTGAGGAGTCCCAAGATTATCCAGTCTATTTGATTATTCTGTCATTATTTTTGTTATCTTATTTGGCGCAAGTTTATGAAAGTCCTAGGTTCATCTCTGAAATTTGAAATACTGCAGTTTCAAAATTAAAGAACAAGATTTAATCACACTTCAGCTTATAGAAAGGAAAAATAAAAGCCTGAGGTAGGGTTAGAATTCTGACCAGCATGCTCATGAAGGTTTCTTTCAGTATTAACTTAGGCATCTTCCACTTTCCTCCCATCCCGTATCTTATCACATAGCATACGTCAATTGATAGGCCAAATGGTGCTTTTAGGGCTTCCGAGGTCTGAGACTTCTTGTGGTTAGAAAGTGATTCATTGGGTGTTGGCCCTCTTAGCCTCTATACCTATATGAAATACATTAGCGTTGCTGTCTTTTTATTTACTGGTGGTATTTTATGTTTCCATCTAAGTGTTTTTGTATTGAAAGCTTATTTGTGATGTGTATCTTAGTAGCATACCTTGTATTAGTTATGTGAGCAAAAATTGAAGCAAACCAAGTACAGAAAGACTATCTGTGAGCTTCTCTGTCTCTCCTGAAATTCTCAAGGTTGATAAAATCACTCATGAAAAAGATTCTAGATAATTTGTGAATGGTTTTGCTTCTGCTATCGTGTATCCACAGATAAAACTGGCAGTGAACTTTATCTTTTGTAAATGTCAATTTGAAAATCACCATTTGTGAATTAGTACCTACTTTGTGCTGAGGAAACATGGTGGTGCAATGGTTGAAGTGCTTGACTGCTAACCGATGGTTGGTGGTACCAACCCACCAGCTGCTCCATGAGAGAGAGATGAAGGAGGCTGCTTCTGTAAAGATTACAGCTTTGGAAACCCTATGAGGCAGTTCTGTCCTGTCCTAGAGAGTTGCTATGAGTCACAGCTGACTGTGGCAGTGGGTTTGGTTTTTGGGTTTGTGTTTTGGAAGAATTTTTTTCCTATTCTCAGCTATTGGATTGTGGTAAGATAAATAACAGGCAGTGTTTTCAGAATATTTAGGGCCCATGACTTCATTTTTCTTTATCTCAAATAGATTTGCTACTGTATAGTTTTGTCTAAAAGTGAGGTTTTTTTTTTTTTTTTGATGAACAGTGTGTTATTTTTTTTGTGTGTGTAAAGAGGTGTGTTAATTGTGATGCTGTTTGGACTCTGACCATAAATAATTCCTAGAACTTCATTCCCCACTATCATGGAGGCCTCTTACCTGTTCATTTTAGAATGCTCCAGGTGAATAATTTCAGTCAGACGCCAAGAACTTTCCTTGCTTTTACGGTCCCACAGTACTCAAAACTCTGCCATGACTTCCAAATTTTTCCCAACTTTTATCCTCATTTTTCTTTCTAGCTTTTTCCCCAGTCAGAATAATTTATATGTATCTGCTCAGACTTTCTTTTTCCCTGTCTTTGATGCATGGGTTGCTCTCCTGTTTCTGCTTCTTTCCTATCTACCTTAAAATCTTTAGCTCAGTTCAGTCTCAATAGTGAAACCATACTGGGCCATTCTGGTCAGAGTGATCTCTGTCATCGTCAGTGCTGTTCATTTGACATAGAACCATAATGCAAGACAGTATGTGACATTTGTGTGTCCGTGTTCAAGGTGAGATGTAACCTGGTAAGAAAGTCAGAATTACTATTGCTGTTGCAGGCATTTCTTATTGATTAGCTTCCCTGTAGCTTCCAGTATGTACTTAAGATATTAGAGGAGAACTATAGTAATTGTTCTTTATATTCAGTGAAGATAGATTAGTTAATGTTTATTTAACTACTAAGCTATTACTATGACGTGCAATAATCACTAGCTTAGGTAGTTATGAATAAAAGCTTTATTTAAATGTTTTTTATTGTTTTTATAGTTTTAGAAATATGATTTTGAACCAAAGTTATATTTTCACTGGATCTAGGCATTTTATTGGTTTGTAATAAAATCTGTGCTGAATTTTAAGTACAATGAAATATTTTTTTAACATGGTCAGTAAAAGTAATCACTGATTTCACATTTTTTTTTCAGCATCATGAAATTTGTAAAAAAAAAAAAAAAGATTTATATGAACATTTATAATTGAGATATTTAAGAATTTAAAAATTGTAAAATTAGGTCTCTCCATTTAGATGATCCTTTTCCTTTCTTTTTTTAACATGGTCAGTAAAAGTAATCACTGATTTCACATTTTTTTTTCAGCATCATGAAATTTTAAAAAAAAAAAAAAAAGATTTATATGAACATTTATAATTGAGATATTTAAGAATTTAAAAATTGTAAAATTAGGTCTCTCCATTTAGATGATCCTTTTCCTTTCTTCTTTTCAGGTTACTCACTTTTGTTTACCCCAGCTTCTTCCGTTGCTTAAACATACCACGTCATATCTTCATGAGGTCTTTGAATTTTATGAAGAAATTCTTACATGTCGATACCCGTACTCCTGTTTTAAAACTGTATTCATTGATGAGGCTTACGTTGAAGTGGCTGCCTACGCTTCCATGAGCATTTTTAGGTTTGTCTGTCTGCAAATTTGAAATGGTTGTGTTAGGATAAGGATGTAAAGAGAAGCTATTTATTTTCTGATCAATTTTAAGATGAATTTTGAGCTTTTCTCTTCAACTTAGATGCGGTTGGCCCTTAGAAAAATCTTTCTAGTTCTTTTAAATTAAAAAAATATATATAAAAGCTTAAAAAACATTTAAAAATAACCCAAAAGACTCATTATCTTCAGAATTAACTGATATGAATACTGTGTGTATTTGAATTTTTTTTCTGTCTATACATTTTTTGAAAAATTATACAGGTTATTACATGGATAGCTTGCTTGGTTTTCCTTTTCTTTTTTCAAAGCATTACTTAAAAATTTACTGTGGTCATCAGGAATGCTTTAATAAATAGAGAAATTCTTTTCCTTTCTCTTTTTTCCTGCTTCCTTTTTCCCTGATACCTTCTCTTTCTTGTCCTCTTCCTCCTTTGGACAGTTCCAGATTTGGACGTATAATGTCTCAGGCTCATTTTACCTCTGCTAGACCTAAATTCTCTCATCTGAAAAATGGGAATAATAATTCTGCCCCTGCTTTTTCCAGTGTGTTGTTAGAAAAGTCTGATGGGATAATGTATTTGAAAGTAACTAACAGCAAGCAATCAAGTTGATAGTTACTATCAGGAAAAGATTTTTTAAATTAAAAGAACCTTTGTCTGAGGATCAGTTTCTGAAAATGATACTCTCTTATGCCCCCTGCCCAAAAGAAAAATTACTTATTTTTTTTATAATCCTTACTGAGCAAAAGTTAAAATAATAACGAGTTTCATGTAAATTTTGAAAAGATAGAAGGTTCTTTAGGGGAATATTCTGTTTTTCTTTTTTATGTCTAACTTAAATTCCCTTCTTTTAAAAGTGTAATTATGTTCTTTTAGCTGAATAATTGTTTGTCCCTTGTTTATAGTTATCTTTCTCTTTTAAATCCTAGCACAAACCTTTTACACAGTGCCATGATTATAGATGAGACACCGCTGACTAGAAGGTGTTTAGCCCAGTCTTTGGCCCAGCAGTTTTTTGGGTGTTTCATATCTAGAATGTCTTGGTAAGTAATTTCAAAGTTTGTATCTACTAAGAAAAAAAAACCTGGAAGGCTTGTTTTTATTTTCTTTTATGGTAGTGTAAACCAGTCTTTGCCTTGATAGCATATAGTTCATTTAAAATACACAATTCTGTATTTACTTAAAGAAAAATAATATGTATTTCCTTCTGACTTTTTGTGGATTTGGAGAGTTGAGCAGTACAGTCCTGGTTGTGGGTAAGAGGTGAGGCAGACAGGGTGCACATAGAGGGACGCAGTACTGCCGGAGGAGAGCATATGCAGGAGAAATATATTTGAAATAAAACTCTAAAGTAGTCTTTAAGGTAAAGCCAGATGTGAGGAAGAAAGCAGAATTAGCCAACTTGGCTAGAGGAATTGGGGAAATCAAATAATTTGTTAATAGCTTTGCTTCAGGAAAGCCAGGAAGTAAATACTACCCTTGTTCCATTATCCTCTTTGGGCTTCTCTGAAGACGTTTTCTATGAAAAGAAGATTATATTTTACCTTTTCATTTAGGTCTGATGAATGGGTGCTGAAGGGAATTTCAGGCTATATCTATGGACTTTGGATGAAAAAAACTTTTGGTGTTAATGAGTATCGACATTGGATTAAAGAGGTAACTTTAATATCTACTTATAAATCAATAAGTCATGTTAGCATTCTACTGATTTCCAAGTTGTGTGCCCTTTATTTTTAATAACTGTAAAGTACTTATAAAAATGTTATTTCAGAGTTTCTAAGTTTTCACAGCAAAATGGGAATCACTTTAATAAAAAAGACTAAAGGCCTATTTTGTCTTCTTACCATGGTCAGTGTTGGCCCTCGGTTTTTTTTTTTTAGGTTGGAGAGTATTTAGGCTTTTTAACATCAAGTTGGTCTTTAGATATATTCCAGGTCCCCATAGTACTCCTTTATAACTGTGTGTTTCTGAAATTGGTTTGCACTTAAAGCACAGCTTCTGGAGTCAGATTGCTTGCTTTTGAATCTCCCTCATACATTTGCTAGCTTTGTGACTTTGGTTCATCTTTCCAAGCCTCATCTGGATAAGAGGGGGTAATAGCCGTGTCTATCCCATGAGCAAGGGTTGTGAGATATCATAATGTAACATGTACTGCATAGTGCCTTGTACATAGTAAGTTCTTATTACGTGCTGGCTAGTCCTTGAACGCATTTATGTTCACCGAAAGGAGCTCTGGTGGCATAGTGCCTGAGGCGTTTGCTAACCAGAAGGTTAGCCGTTCAAACCCACCAGTCACTCTGCAGAAAGAAGACTGGGCAATCTACTTATGTAGAGTTACTGCCTCGGAAACCCAATGGGGGTCGCTATGAGTCAGAATTGATTAGATGGCAATAGGTTTTTTGTTTGTTTGCATAGCATGTCTTTTTCCTACCATTTAAGGATTTGATCCATCCTAGCCCTCAAAAAATAAATTGGATTTTGCTTAGACCATTGTGTTCATAAACATTTTAATCATATTATGCTTAGCATCTTCCTTCCCAGGTGGAAAAATACCAGTCTTTAATACCCTCATGAAGCAGACCCTTCCATCTTCCCCTTTCTGTCATTTTATTTATTTTTGTCATCCAAGCCTAAACTCCGGTAAGCCATCAAGTTCAATGTCAAGGACTTCCAACATCTAGATCTGTTAAAGGAGTCATACATCTAGAACTGGAAGAGTCCATTCTTCATTTTGTAAACTATTAGAGAAGAGGAAAGGATAATATATAGCACTTAACTATGTATCCGGCACTGTTAGGAAGACTGTAGAAATACTAACTCACTTACCCTCATTAATAACCTTGTTCTTACCCACATTTTATAGATGAGAAAACTGAGGTACAGGCAGGTTAAGTTATTCGGCCAAAGTTACACAGCTAGTAAGTAACAGAGTCAGGATTTAACATCTAAATATGCTTTTTAAACACTTCTTTATGCTGCATCTCCACCAGTATCAGTTTGTCGTACTCTGGTGGCTTGCTTTGTTGCCATGGAGCTGGAAGCTATGCTCCTAGCATTGCAAATATTAGCAGATTCATCCATGGTGGGCAGGTTTCAGCAGAGCTTTCAAAATAAGACAGACCTGGAGATCTACTTCTGAAAATTGGCCAGTAGAAGCGCTATGGAGCCAAACAGAGTATTGTAGCCCTGAACTCAGAGAGGTCAATGATGAGGAATGTGGCACAGGCTCTGTTTCGTTCTGTTATGTGTAGAATCAGCATGAGTCGCAGATGACTTGACGGCAGCTCACAACAGCAGTGCTGCATCTATATTAGTTAAACTGGTCATGAATTTTCAGCACAATTGCTTTATTGTGTTTTCTTCTCTGACCTTTTGGTTTTTTCAAATCTTGTACTAGAGGAAGAGTTGAGAAGTTTTAAAATGATAAATTCCTAAAGTAATTTTCTCCTCATTTCTTTTTACTTGCCTCATTCCTCCACCAGAAACAAAATATAGAGAAGGAAGAAATAAACTTGGAACAGGAGTCATAGAGGTTGAGAAGAGCCATTAGGGAAGGTTGCCAGGCTGCTGGCCAGCCCTGAAGTCACAACATAGAGAAGGCTTTTTGGCTCTATCATGTAGCTCGCTGTGTGGTCTGCTTTATTTATAAGTATGTAACCTACTCTAGAAATACACGCATTTCACTTATTTTGAGAATTTAATATTCTGATTATAGGAATTGAGAATTCATAGGTGAGTTCTGAAATTTGGTGTGTAAAAATATTTTCATTGACTCCTGTTTTTATTTTATATCTTTTTAAGGAACTAGATAAGATAGTAGCATATGAATTGAAGACTGGTGGAGTTTTACTACATCCCATTTTTGGTGGAGGGAAAGAGAAAGATAAGTATGTTTGTTTTTCATAGATGATATTATAAACCTTGCTTTTTAAGGGGGTCACTGTCAAATGATCACTTGCATGTATATTTAGGCCCACATGAAGCCAAAGGAGTAGTAATAGTATGTAATAATATTGATGCCACAAACACTGGTAATGTTCTTATTACTCCTTTCCTGGTTTTTTTGGTTGTGATGACTGTTGTCAACAATAGAAATTATGGGTATTTTCCTACCCATTATAATTATTGCAGATATTTTGAAATACCCTTTGCACTCATCATGACCTCAAAATTACCATAGTTATTAGACCAGATGCTAGATCTTGGTATTTAACACATTAATAAACTAGCACATAAACCACTTAAATGTTCATTTATGTCATAAATAGACTATTAGGTTCTACCCTTTTCTTAAATAACTAATGATCTCTTTCACCGTATCAGCATTTTTATATAATCAATCTTGTCTTTATGTCTTTGGATTTTGTTTTTCCAACCCCAAAATTATGAAGACAATATTTGTCCTTTATTTTCTTCTAGTACTTTTACAGTTGTTTTTGTTTGATTATTTAAATATGTAATCTGTCTTGAATGTATTTTTTGTCTATGTTTTAATATTGGGATATTGATTGGAATTGCATTGATTTTATTGATGAATATTGGGAGAATTGAAATATTTCCAGTATTTTGTATTCCAATATTTATAGTATTATGTGTTCCCATGTAGGTACGTGCCACATGTCTCTATTTATTCACGTTTTCTTTCATAACCTTTAGTAAAACTTTGTAATTTTCTTTTAGTTAAATTTATTCTTATGTATTTCCTAGTCTTTCTTGCTTTCATACTATGGAAATCACTATGAAGTTTGTTTTTTTATTATTGTGTTTTTGGCGAGAGTTTATACAGCAGATTAGGTTCCCATTTAACAATTTCTATACATACTGTGCAGTGATACTGTTTGGATTTTACACGATGTGCCAGCATTGTCAGTATGTCCATTCTGGTTGTTTTGTTTCTATTTATCGAGCTTTCCTTTCCCCCTTGTTTTCTCATCTTTGCTGTAGGGTAAATGTTGACTGTGTAGTCTCCTATAGATGATTATTAAAGAAGCACAGTACTCATGAGTAATATGTTTATTTTGAGCCAATCTGTTATTTGGCTGAAAAGTGATCTCTGGGAATGGCTTCAGTTCTGAGTTTAAAGGTTATCCCAGGGCAGTAGTCTTGGGGCTTCCTCTGGTCTCTATAGGCTAGTAAGGCTGGACTTTTTTTGAGGAATTTGAGTTTTATTCTACATTTGTCTCTCATTCTCTCTGGGACCATCTACTGCGTCATTGGTCACAGTGGTCAAGTGGTAGCTAAGCTCCATCTAGTCTTTCTGGTCTCAGGGTAGATGAGGCTGTGGTTCGTGTGGGTAGTTAGTCTTAGACTAATGTCTCCTTTGAGTCTTTGATTTCCTTCTTTCTTTTTTGCTCCAGACGACAACAGACCAATAGTTATTTCTTAGATGGCCACCCACAAGCTTTTAAGACCTCAGACGGTATGGAACAAATCAGGATGTAGAACATTACCTTTATAAACTGTGTTAATGCCCATTGACCAAGTTGTCACATGAGTTTGTGGTTCTAAGCCTTAAAACCCCATAAACCAATCCTGCAAGGTATTCGGTTATGTCTGGGGAGTATCTGTCTAGTGTGCCCCCATGTGCTTTATTAAGTATATGGATATGTGCGCAGCACACACAAATGTGAATATACATATGCCTACAGATACACCTATACGTGCATGTGCATGCACTCACATATGCCTTCCTGTACACATATAAGCATACTTACATGCCTATGTAACTATACACATATTTTTTGGTTGTTATTACTGTTGCAAAATTATATATATTATTATAGCATTTACTGATGTCACTTTTTCTTGTGTACTACTTAATGTCTTCATTTACCTTGATCAAGTTGTGCAGACTTCACCCATATTTGATACTGCCTTTCCCATCACCAAAAATAGCAAATAACAAATGTCTACTATCTAAAAATACAATGTAAAGTATTATAATGAAATGTGCTAGGACTTAGATTTAGAAAATCAAAAGGGAAGAACACACTTTCAGCATTTCTCAAGGTGGAAGAGCTGAAGAAAAAATTCAAGCCTCAAGTTGCAGTGTTGAAGGATTTTAGGGAAACAAAAGTGAGTGATGAAGAAAGTATCAAAAGAAGATGGAAGGAATACACAGACTCTCTGTACCGAAAGGAATTGGTCAGCATTCAGCCATTTCAGGAGTCAGCATATGATCAAAAACTGATGGTACTGATGAAAGAAATTGAAGCTGCACTGATGGAATTGGCAAAAAATAAGGCTCTAGGAATTGACAGAATACCCATTGGATGTTTCAACAAATGGATGCAACACTGGAAGTGCTCACTCATTTATACCAAAAAATTTAGAAGAAAAGTACCTGACCTACCTACTGAAAGAGATGAATATTTTTGCCTTTTCCAAAGAGAAATAATCCAACAGAATGCGGAAATTAGCAAACAGTAGCATTAATATCCCGTGCAAGTAAAATTTTACTGAATGTAATGCAAAAATGGTAGCAGTAGTACATCAGCAGGGAACTGTCAGAAATTCAAGCTGGATTCAGAAGAGGATGTGGAATAGGGATATCATTGCTGATGTCAGATGGATCTTGGCTGAAAGCAAAGAATACAAGAAAGATGTATTTGACTGTGTGGATCGTAACAAGTTATGGATAACATGGCAAAGAATGAGAATTCCCGAACACTTAATTGTGCTCATGAGAAACCTGTATGTAGACCAAGAGGCAGCTATTTGAACAGAACAAGGGGATAATGAATGGTTTAAAATGAGGAAAGGTGTGTGCCAGGGTTGTACCCTTTCACCATGCTTATTCACTGTGTATGCTGGGCACATAATCTGAGAGTCTGGATTATATGAAGAAAAATGTGGCATCAGGATTGGAGGAAGACTCATTAACAACCTGCGATACGCAGATGACTCATCCTTACTTGCTAAAGGTGAAGAAGACTTGAGGCACACTTACTGCTGAAATCAAAGACTACAGCCTTCACTATGGATTACACCTCAACATAAAGAAAACAAAAGTATTCACAAGTGTACCAGTAAGCAACATCACAATAAATGGAGAAAATATTGAAGGTGTCAATTCATTGTACTTGGACCCATGATCACCACCCATGGAAGCAGCAGTCAGGAAATCAATTGATGTATTGCATTGGACGTATCTGCTGCAAAAAACTGCTTTAAAGTGTTCAAGATCAAATATGTCACTTTGAAGGCAAGGTGTGCTTGATCCAAGCTGTGGTCTTTTCAGTAGCCTCTAATGCATGTGAAAGCTGAACAGTGAATAAGGAAAACACAGAAGAATTGATGCATTTGAAGTATGGTGTTTGTGAAGAATATTGAATGTACCATGGATTGTTAGAACAAACACATCTGTCTTGGAGGAAGAACAGCCAGAGTGCTCCTTAGAAGTGAGGATGGCTAGACTTTGCCTCCTGTACTGGGGACGTGTGATCAGGAGAGACCAGTCCCTGGAGAAGGACGTCATGCTTTTAAAGTAGAGGGTCAGCGAAACAGAGGAAGATCTTCGTTCAAGCAGATGAATTTACACGGTGGCTGCAACAAGGAGCTCAGGCATAACAACAATCATTGTGAGGATGGTGTGGGACCGGGCAGTGTTTGGTTCTGTTGTACATAAGGTTCCTATGAGTTGAAACTGGCTCAGCAGCACTTGAGAACAACACAACTATCTAGAAAGTGATTCCCCTCCATCCTCCTCCTATCCCTGATAACCACCAAAACACATTGTTTCTGTATATGTACCTATTTGTCTTTTTATAAAAGTGAGACCCTACCATATTTGTCCTTTTGTGATGGACTTATTTTACTCAGTATCATGTCCTCCAGAGTCTTCCATTTTATAAATTTATATTTTGAGAACTCATCATTATTCTTTATAGCTGCAAAGTATGTGTGTACAAAAATTTGTTTATGCACTCATCTATCGATAGGCACTTATTTGTTTCCATCTTTTTGCTGTTGTGAATAATGCAAAAAGTGAACATAGGTATGCAGTGAACATAGGTGTGCATATGTCTATTTGTGTCTCTGCTATTAGATCTCTGAGATACTATATATGGGAATGAGATTACTGGATCATATGTTTCTACTTTTTTGTGGAAGCACCATAATGTTTTCCATAGTGGTTATACCATTTTACAATCCCACCAGCAGTGGATGAGAGTTCTGATCTTCCCACAGCCTGACCAGCATTTATTATTTTCTGACTTTTTGTTCAGTGAGTGGTATCTCATTGTAGTTTTGATTTGCATTTCTAGTGGCTGATGATCACAAAGCATCTTTGGATGTGTTTGTTGGTTGCCTTTATGTCTTCTTTTGTGGAGTGTCTCTTTCATGCCTTTTACTCAGTTTTTGATTGGATCACTTGTCTTGTGGAGTTGAAGTTTTTTATATACTATAATTTAGAGATTAGATCCTTATCACATATGTCATTCTCAAAGACTTTTTTCCTGGTCTGTAGGTTCTCTTTATACTCTTTTGATAAAGTCTTTTGAAGAACCTAAGTATTTAATTTTTAGGAGGTCCCAGTTATCTAATTTGTCTTCTGTTGTTCTTGCCTTTGTGGTTGGGTTGATAATCTAGGCCTATAGAAACTTAGGTCCCATAGTTTTGTCCCTGTGTTGTCTTCCGGGGTACTTTGTAGATTTAGCTTTAACATTGAGGTCTTTGATCCATTTTGAATTGTTGTGCAGTTTTTTATTTATTATCTTGTATATCTATGAAACTTACTGCTTATTTAAGGTTCAAATTTCTTATATTAAGTAAATCTATATCTTTGTTTAGTCCAGCATCCCATCTTCACTTTTCAATAAAGCATCCACATACGCTTTCCTGGGAATATTACACTATGTTCCAGTGTAAAGCTCACCTTGTGATGAGATTAATTGAAAATAGAATCAGTATGGAATTTATGCTACAAGTAAGTATTAAAGTGAAGAACTTAACAATGGTAAAGATCTGTTCTGTACATGTGTTGTCATACACAGGGCATCTAGGGTTACAGTTTGATTTCTGTTATTAGTTGTTTGCCTATTGTGTAACTATGTATTCTTTGTTTGTTCTTATTGTTTGTATTTCTTCAGTTGTAGAATATCACTATTTTTACCATTTAGCATAAGATTATTATGAAAATTAGAAGGTAATGATGAAAGTAAAACCTTTTATGCAATTGATTTTGTTGTCTGCATTCCTTACTAGATTTACACAAGACAGGATGTGCCCTTTAGAAATGCTTTCAATAGAAATATGCAAACTAATCTAAATGAAGTTTAAGTTTTACTATTTTGCTACATTCTGCCATATATTTTAAGCAAGTTTTGGTGTAAATGGTTGTGATAGTAGAGTTCAACTGTATTATAAATGTTTAGCAATTTTATTTCATTGATAACAGTCTTAGAGGTAAGTGAAAAATAACTTATTAATAATCTTTTTTAAGAAGCATTTTAATTTTGTCCTAGAATTAAGTTTTTTTATTCTTCTTTCATGTTGCCTTTAGAGTAAAGAAAAGAAATATTAAATGAGAGATGGCCCACACAGGGCCATTCAGCTTTTTGGGATGGTATAAATCTGAGTTGAGTATTCTCAACTTCTTAGATAGTGTTTAGATACTCTATAAAGCTCATAGTACAATAAATATAGTTATCATATTGTTTATTGTAATTGTTAATTATAATATTAGTTGTAAATATTAATAAACAAAATAATCTTTGTTTTTCCAGTGTATCATTAAACTTCAATTATGTTTATAGAAAAAGTGTTTTTATTTTATTTAAATCTTTGCGTATGTCTATTGCTAAGTGATCTTTAACTGGAACAATATGTAGTAAGGTATGAAATTACTATCCTCTATAATTAACTAAAGGAGCTCTGGTGACATAGTGTCCAAGGCATTTTGAGTGCTAACCAGAAGCCTGGTTGTTCAAACCCACCAGCCACTCCTCAGAAAGAATGTTGGGCAATCTACTTCTGTAGTGATACCACCTCGAAAACCCAAGGAGGGGTCACTATGAGTTGGGTCCAACTCAACGGCAGTGCATTTATAATTAACTAAAGGAGCTCTGGTGGTAGGGTGGTTAAAGTATTTGGCTGCTAACCAAAAGGTCAGCAGTTCGAACCCACCAGCTGCTCTGCAGGAGAAGGATGAGACAGTCTGCTTCCATAAAGATTTACAGCCTTAGAAATCCTATGAGGCAGTTCTACTCTGTCCTAAAGATTTGCTGTGAGTTGCAGTTAACTTGATGGCAGTGGGTTTGGTTTTTTTGGTTTATGATTAACTGTAACGAAGTTATTAAGCAAAGTATATATGGCACAGACTTTAAAGCAATATATATTATGTTATATGACTTCATTAATTGACACTTTTGTCATTACAGGTTTTCAATAAACTGCTAAGTCTAGCTAGTACTGCTTCATCTCAGAAGTTCCAGTCACATATGTGGAGTCAGATGCTGGTTTCCACATCTGGGTTTTTGAAATCCATCTCCAATGTCTCTGGCAAAGACATCCAACCTTTAATAAAGCAGTGGGTGTATCCTTTTCAATAGCAGTTCAACAAAGGGGATAAGGGAATAAGGTGTATGTATAAGGGGAAAGTGGAAGATAAGGAATATGAGGGACTGAAGAGAGTATGAACTATTTAACTTTCTAAATAGTATTTGCAGTGACCATGAACTGTAAAATCATTTCCTGTAAGGTGCCTATTAATCACTGACATACGTGAACATATATATCTCTGTATTTAAAATCTGTATATTTCTAAATATTTCGAAGTACATTTTAGTGTGAATAATAAAGCAGGAGGTGTGATGGTGGGGAGGTAAGTAATCCTCCCGGCAGAGCTTTAGGAGTCTGGCTAAGATGCAAGGGTCTGGTGACTTTTAGATGTGGTCAGAGGTTGACCTAACTTAAGCGGTATCTTGGAACTTCACAGTTTTTTTTGTTTTAAAACACTGTTATACTAATAACCTAGCAGAGTGCTTTACTTTTCTTAAAATACAAATTTCTTAGTATTTCATAAATTTTGTTTGAATGTGAGGAAACATTTCACAAGAATTTAAAGTCCTTTGCCACCTGGTTTACAATCAACTGTGCTTCTCAAGCTTTGAATTTGTGGGGAGGCATTTGAAAATTATGACTGCTATAATGAATATTTTGGTCAGGATGTACTCAGTTCATTATGTAAAGATTCCTTTACAGTTCTTCAGAGACCAGAGTGGAGTGGTAAAATTTTATGGAAGTTTTGCATTTAATAGAAAACGAAATGTCTTAGAATTGGAAATAAAACAAGATTATACATCTCCTGGAACTCAGAAATATGTGGTAAGATTCCCCCTTCCCCCACAAAAGTAGTCTTTTGTGCTGCTATCTTCTAGTTTTAATATAGGAAGCTCGTAGGAATGGGAAGATTTATAATGAGGTTTTGTTTGCAGATACTAAAATTGAGAAATCAAGTGTCAATGAAAGCAAAGGGGGTTACTGATAGACGTCTCAGTGGGCTCAAATTCTTCCAGTTCTCCTGTCCGTCAGCAGTAACAGTCTTTCTGTGTCTCCAGATCCACATTTTGTGTAATTTTACTTTACATCTTGATCTGTATGCCTGTATATAAAGCAAGGACCACTGGAGGTGAAGGGTGTTAGAGCACTTGGCTTCAAAACAAAAGGTCACCTCCACAGGAGAAATATGAAGCAGCCTGCTTCTGTAGAGATTTACAGCCTTGGAAACCCTCTGGGGCAGTTGTACTCTGTCCTGTAGGGTCACTCTGAGTTAAAATCAACTTGATAGCAGTGGGTTTAGTTTTTGGTGGTGGGGTGTTACTGGAGCCCTGATGGTGCAGTGATTAAAGCACTTGGCTACCAAGCAAAAGGTCGTCAGTTCAAACCCTCCAGCTGCTCCATGGGAGAAAAACATGGCCATCTGCTTCCAAAGATTTGCAGCTTTGGAAACCCTATAAGACAGTATGGTATAATGCGTAAGGCATTTGACTGCTAACTAGAAGGTTGGTTGTTCAAATCCACCAGCCACTCTTCAGAAGGAAGATTGGGCAATCTACTTCTCTAGTGACACCACCTCGGGAACCCAAGGAGGGGTTGCTATGAGTTGGATCAGGCTCAATGGCAGTGAGGGTTTTTTTTTTTTTTTTTTTTTTGGTATAGGGTCACTGTGAGTTGGAATAGGCTCGAGGGCAGTGGGTTAGGTTTTATTTTATTCATAAGCATGCATACGGGTATTTTTCCGAGCACTGCCTTTGAATAGTATGTTTCTTTTTAAAGGGACCACTTAAAGTGACAGTACAAGAGTTAGATGGATCCTTCAATCATACATTGCAAATTGAAGAAAACAGCCTTAAACATGATATACCTTGCCATTCCAAAAGCAGAAGGTAGGCCTTGGATTGTAACTATAAACTGAAGTTATTAAACTACAAGTCACAGTTTAAAGCACCAAATTAAAAATCCTGTTGTGTACCCTTAATTTTTTTTTAGATAGGGAAAATGTTATCTATTATCTTATTTTTCTCCCATTTTATTTCAAGTTAGTATCATCAAACATTTTTTGTTTGCTTTCTGTTCTGGATGACATTTTTATCTTGAGAATTTTTTTTTTTTTTTTAATGTAAGACTTTGAGAATCCGTTTCTTATTAGGAGTTTTTGAGCCAGAAAATAGTCAAGACAAATAGATTCATTCCTTACTAGTCTTATCGGGTTGCTGTCTAAGGAAATATCAGAAAAATGGTGATAACGTCAAATGGAAGGGAGGGAGCCACGTATGTATGCCATACAAAGCCCTCACTGATTTTCTGCTTTGTCTCTTTCTCCTCCTCCATGTCACCAGACCCTACAGAACAGTCTGTGTGTCTTTAAGGCAAATTGCCAGTTTACTTCAGAAGTGTCCCATCAATTCATCTCTTATTTAATATGTTTGTCCTTTCCCACTTGCTTTAATTCAGCTGTTCACATGTACTCTGAATAGTGAAGGATGAGAACATCACTGTGCTGTGTTGGAGGAATGTTTGGAATATTAAAATTTCAGGAACAGAAACCTCAGAGTCATGGTTGTGTTTAGATCATCATTACACAAATGTCTGTTAATTATAAAGGCCTTCTAAGAACTTGATGCAGGAATCTCCCTTTCTTTTTGTGCTGTCCACCTTGGAAACTGGGAATGTCTGACTGCTACCTTTTTCATAACATTTCTTTGGGTTTTTTTCTTTATAATAATAATATGTCACTTGGGTGTTCTTTGAGGTGAGTAAACAGGAAGACTGTATTTTGTTTTTATTTGCTCTCACCCATGTTTTTAGTGTGTTATCCTGTAGATTTATGTTAGAGGAGTAATTAACATGGAGACCCTTGTTTTTGTTTAGCTTATTTTAAATCTTATACATACTTATACTCTTAAGATGTGTTACTAGCTAATCATTTGTTTTGTTTCATATATAGGACAGTGTCTTACAGTAACCAGTCCATATAGCATATGGTTCAGAATTATTTATCTCTTATATCTGTGGGTTTTGTGGTTTTTCCCATTTATTATAAAGGATTTCTTTATTGATGGATTCTATATAAAATTGCAGTTACATGTTCTTGGGAACATACAGGTTTTATCTTGACATGTAATTATATATTTCTCCTTTTGTTAAACTTTAATCAAGAAAGAATTTCAGTGTTGTTTGCTTCATTCCTTCCAGCCTCAAAATAGACAGTGATCTGTGTTGTGTTTAAATTCCATTGCCTTTGATATCTCTTCTTTCTTAGGATGCCTTTTAATGTTGCCTGAAATAGTTTATTTGATCTTTAGCTGCTGCTTCAAAATTAGAACTCTCACAATTTTCAAACTTACTGTTCCTCAAATGTAGAAATAAGAAGAAAAAAATTCCGCTGATGAATGGAGAAGAAGTTGACATGGATCTTTCTGCAATGGAGTAAGCTACTTAAATTTAAAGATAAAATGTTTTTTTGCATTCTCATTTTTCTTGTTAAACTTTTCTAAAAATAAGTGATTGGCCTCAAAATTAGTGCTTTTAAAGCTTTTTAATGGCAATTTATATTAAGCCCAAATCTCACATAAGACCATAATTAATCGGATAGGTGGAAGTACATGTGACCTGGCTTAGGTGAAATTGGGAGGACAGGCAGGATGAGGGTGGGGATAGCCCCGCTTGACCAGACAGCTTTCTTGCTCCCCTGGTGGCCTCTAGATTAGTGCTTCCCAAATGACTGTGAGCATAGGAGCCATTTCCAGACATTCTTAAAATGCAGTTTCTGATCCAGTCCTTCACCAGGGAGGCCTGATGGTTTGCATTTGTAATGAGCTTGAAGATGAGATTTCTTTTCCTTGTCCCTAGACCAGAGCTCTGAGGCATCTGAAGACTTCCTGTATTTGTAAAACACAATTTAAAAAAAAACCCAAACCGAAAAACCAAACTCACTGCTGTGGAGTCGATTTGACTTATAGCGACCAGTTATCAGTCATGTTTATATACAGACTGTCTACATCAGGATCAGGGAGCTCTGGTGGCATAGTGCTAAGGCGTTTGACTGCTAACCAGAAGGCTGGCAGTTCAAACCTACCAGCCACTCCTGGGAAGGAAGGTGGGGCAATTTACTTCCCTAGTGATGCTGCCTCAGAAACCCAAGGAGGGGTCGCTATGTGGCACATAACAACAAACATCAAGATCAGTGTTAGTTTCATAGCCAGTCCCTTGCCTGTAGTAATCTAGTCACCCAATAATATTTATTGAATTAATATTCCAAGTGCTGCTCATTTGATCCAAGTATTGACATGGACTAAGGTTTTTAAAGGTATGTTTATTGTTTTGAGGTATATGTGAGGATAAATTCATGCTATGCCTCCAAATCAGAATTTCAGACCTTACCTTTTGAAAATGCCATCAGGAGTCCAGCATTTAAAAAAAAAGTTTTGAAAGTCTGCTCAACAAATTAATACAGTAAAATAAATGCTTTCATTTTTCAGTTACAAATTATTGTCCAGTAAAGGGTGGTATTTATAGCCAAAGTCAATTATTAGGCTGTGGGATCCCATTACCTGAAAAATTTAGCCTCATATTTTTCATGTCACATAAACACAAATCAAAATCCCTAAATTAATTTTTTTAGACAGAAAATGCAGAATTCAGAATTATTTTTGGTAGCATAGTGCCTAAGGCACTTGACTGCTAACCGGAAGGCTGGCGGTTCAAACCAACCAGCCACTTCTCAGAAGGAAGGTTCGGCAATCTACTTCCGTAGTGATAGCGTAGGGGTCGCTATGAGTTGGGGCCGACTCGGCACGTAACAACAACAACAACAACAATTATCCTTTTATTCAGGGAAATTCTAGCAATGTTGATTTAGATGAGACATTGTAAGAAAGTTGAAATATATTAAACATAATGATAAAATTTTGAGTCATTAAAAATGTATACAATAAAACTCTTAAGGAAATCTTGAATACCATATCTGAAGGAAATCTAGTTGATAAACGCTTTGTTTTGACTTTCTAAATATATAGAATGAAAATTGAAAACAAACTCGCCTATTTTTCTTTCAGTGCCGATTCCCCGTTGCTGTGGATAAGGATAGACCCGGACATGTCGGTACTGAGGAAGGTGGGATTTGAACAAGCAGATTTTATGTGGCAGTACCAGCTCCGCTATGAGAGGGATGTGGTCGCACAGCAGGAGTCCATCTCGGCCTTGGAGAAGTTCCCCACGCCAGCGTCCCGGCTCGCTCTCACCGACATCTTGGACCAGGAGCAGTGTTTCTACCGAGTGAGAATGTCAGCCTGCTTCTGCCTTGCAAAGGTGAGATGACCTACGGGAGAAAAACAAGAGGACTACTGCATGTGTAGTTTTTTAAATCCCTGAAAACAAACTGAAACTCACTGTAATCTTTACATTTATGTGGTAGCCAGTTATTCGAAAGCTTTGCCAAGTGCTTTTAGCAAGACTGCTTTGAAAGAAATGTCTTTTGATCTGAAAATAGATATACATAAAAATTTTGCAGTTGGTCAAATTGAAAAGTCAGATACTAAAACCAAAGAGAACTTTTCACCATTTTATTGAATGGCAAACAACATCTTTAAAGCAAAGAATTTATTTGGTAAGAAATCCCTAGGTTTGAATGATAGTTTACATTGTAGTACATTAAACCAATTCATCTTAGTTAGCCTACTGTGATAATTCTTTTAATGTTGTTTGGGCTTAGAAATTGGTATTAGTGATATGTAATTTAAAATCATAGGTGCTGTAATTTCACATGCTAGAAAAGTTAATTTATTGAGAAAACTAAATATTTTTCTTTAGATGGGGAAAAAAAAACAAACTGAAGGTAGAACAAATGAAAACCAGAAAAACACAAAAATTTGGCCAGAAATACTGGTTTCCAGGTATTTAAAAAGCATCTTGATAATAGGTTCATTATTTCCATTTTGTGACTCTCTTTCCTTCTTCACTGCTAAACCCATTTGTCCCATATTTCAGCAGTATCATGGTTTAGGTTTATTTTATCATTAATGACAGCAAGTGAGTAGTTAGATTCCTACGTTCTTCTCAGCTGTATGAGGGAAAAACTGATTTTCGTTGAGAGCCATCTGCTAAGGATGTAATTTCATTGCTTCTGTAAAGTGCTTTGTGACTTGCATGTTAAATTCTTAGCAGAGCTATAAAATTGTAGGATATATTATTTAAACTTAATCAAAGTTTTATTCTTTTCAGATGGATATGTTTTATATACAGTAAAAAATATCAATAGCAAGATATGAATTTTTTGGACTGTGTTATAACAGACTTAAATGGTAGCACTGTACTTGGCTTGCATCAATTAGGGTAGATTGAAAAATCTTATTTAAAATCCATGATGATGTTTCTACTTGAGTAAATGTATCAGAGTTACATTTGTCTAACTGAATCAAAATAAACCACTTCTTATTCAGAATGGAAGCCTTTTGCAAACATATTTTCTTAAACCTAAAAGAGTACCTACTAACATTTAGAAGTTAACTTTTAGAAAAAGTACATGTATTAAGAACTTTTTTTGTTCGTAGTTTGTGTATGTTTTTGGAAATGGTGGTGAAAGGCTAAAAAGTGTAACATTTCTGCGAATTGAAATTATAATATTGATAAAGTTTAGAAAGCTGTTTTATTTAAAACTGTGGTTGCAATGGTGATAGAAATGATTTCATCTAATTATTCAGATTGCAAATTCAATGGTGAGCACGTGGACAGGACCACCAGCTATGAAGTCACTCTTCACTAGAATGTTTTGTTGTAAAACTTGCCCAAACATTGTGAAAACGAACAACTTTATGAGCTTTCAAAGTTATTTTCTACAGAAGGTACAGTTTTCTTATCATTTTCTTATGATTATGCTTTATGCCGCTATGTATAGATCTCAGTTTAACTTAGAGACTGTTCAGTTAATGGGTGTATTTACTTTCTTGCAGGGCTTCAAACTGGTTCTTCCTGGTTCAGACATGGCCAACTGAGTGAAACCAGAGTAACCTGAATTTGTAAAATGTGGGTGAACTGGAACAGGAAAAATTATGAGTCACTGTCCTGCTAGAAACTTAACCTGCCTCTTAGAAAACAAGGGTGGTGTGTGTTGTTGCATAGCCACCAAATCCCTTGTCTGACTGAATTGGAAACAGCAGTGCCCAGCTTAAAGATAGCACGTGACCATGCCACATTGAATGTGTGTCATTCCCCTCAGTCCTGGCAATAATCCAATCTCCTGCATCAGGCTCCTGAAAAGGCTCACGACACCTCTTCCAAATCTTCCATTCCAGGGCTTGAACCTGTAATGTTTTCTGTCCTGGTTATTGTCTCAATACGCCCACATTTTACAGATTCGAGTCTGTTCTGATTTCACTGCATTGACCATGACTGAACTAGTTTGAACTGGTTCAGAGCCCTACTTTCCTATGAAAAGTTTCCTTTTTTTTTTTTTTTTTTGGCTTCTAAAATGTTTTCCAGAACTTGAAGTGATTGCTCATTGGTTTTATGGCCTGTGTGCAAGTAAATCTCACTATCCACAATAATGGTAGAAAGACTCAAAAAACTCAAACTCACTGCCATTGAGTCAATTCCAACTCCTAGCAACCCCCATTGGGTTTCTAAGGCTGTTAATCTTTATGGAAGCAAACTGCATCATTGTTCTTCCAAGTGTAAAGAGACTAGAAATGGAAAGTTTTTCCTCGTGGTGGGTTGCATAGAGGATGGAGGTGTGTGTAAGTTCTTCTCATGGCACATCTTCTGGAATATGGACAGTTTGTATGATGAGAGGCAGCAAAGCAAAGAACTCTAGGCACATATGTGAGTTCCCCTCCCAGCTCTGCTGCTCACGGGCAGTTTACACATGGGCAAGTTTCTTAACGTTTTAAGCCTCAGCTTACTGAATTATAAGATGGATCTTCTTTAGAGTAAGATAGGATCAAACATGAAGTGTTTTACACTATGCTTATCACACTAGAAGTTTTCTGTAAATGGTAATTTAGGAAATAGCGGTAGTGATGTGGTGGGTTAGTCACTGTTTTAGGAAGGGGTGTAGAACTGGCAGAGTGAGTAGCATGCGACAGTTTGGAAGTAATTTGTAAAATTTTTTTGAGCTCGGATAACTAGATTGAACTGGGGAAGAAAAGCGGAGTCAAAGTGGAGAAAATGAAACCTATTCTTTCATGATTTTGTAGAAAAGAATGAGGAAGGAGGCTATCTTGAAGATAAAGGAAAGTGGAGGAAAAATTTGTTTTGTTTTGTATACACAGAGGAAGAACTTAAAGCATGTTTGGCAGAGAACAAGAAACCAGTGGAAAGGGAGAGATGAAATAATCAAGTGAGAGAAAGTAAATTCTGCAGTTGTTGGTAGAGGGTGGGGCACCGTTTGGGAGGTTAGTCTTAGAAAAGGTAAGACATTCCTTTTTCTGAGACAGGTGGAAAGCAGAGTGAAAACAAGAGACTACTGAGGGGCTTGCTAGACAAGTTGAGACATTTCATAGAGGGAAGGGTAAAAGGGTTGTTTAGCAGCACTCAGAGTGAAGATCACGCTATAGTAAATTTCATTAGCAAAGTAGATGTAGAGTGATCCAGGTGTGTGGAAAGCCAATCTTGGTTTAATCTTAGAAGCCTGTGGTATCCAATTATATTAGAGAAACGAACATTTGCTAGTACTTAATGCTCTGATCAGCTCCATTATTGCCATTACACTAATTTATGGTACGGAAATAAGTTAATCTCTGTATTCTACTCAGTATATTCCTTTCATTATTTCCTTGTGCTTCCATATATCATTGTTTCAAGATGGCATGTGTGACCCATTAGTGAGAGGGTTGTGAAATCAATTTCAAGTTTTTACCAACTTTTTAAGTATATGTATGTGTGTGGGTGTGTATTTGTAAAAGAAAACAATGGGCAACATACCAAAATGCATCACATGTGATGAGGGGTAGCTATACTTTTTTTTTTTTTTTTGCTGTTACTTTTTTTTTGGTTTATATAGATTGCATCTATAATGTATGTGTGCCAGGTTGGCATATGAAGTGTGTTTCTTACTGTGAGTTACAGTTAGAACTTGAAGAACAATACTTTTAGACCAACTCACCTTTCATTTAGTATTTTTAGTGGACAGGAGAAAGAAGATTGGTGCCTGAATCAAATTTGAGTCTCCAAGGGCAGAGGGGGCATAGGACAGATAGGTCTGTGGACAAATGACCCTCGGTTGCTCTTAGAGCACTGACTTGGACTGCTGCTGTTGCTCCCATAGCTTCTGCTCCTTCAAGCAAGCAAAGGAGTCACCCCTTTCTAGCCCCCAGTTTAGAGGGAATAGCTTTTTGAGTAAGAAGAGGCAATGGTATGAATCTCCCTGTCTCCGGAGGACTATGCTGTCTACTCATCCGTAGTTCTGCCTGGAGATCAATTAGCTTCATCTCACTAGTAGAAATTACCACCACGTATGAGCCACATATCTGCCTCCTTAGAGAAATTGTTTATGTAAATTTAGAAAGGAGAAAGTTCAGCTGACTTTCAGATAATTTACTATTTTTCTTGAAACCTTAGGCTGAGAATGGGAATGGTACTGGAGAGTCAGTGTTTACTAACAGTGGTCATTGAGCTGTACTGTATGACACATGATTGCAGCCATTACATCATTTAATCCTCAAAATGGTTGTGGGGAAAATGAGGCTTCTTGTCAGTAAGCAACTAGCTTAGTGGGTACATAGGTCAGGAGTAGAATAGTTGTCTGCCTATTGCTAAAACTTACACCTTTTCTGTAGGACACAGAACTAGATTTATGTAATTTACATTACATACACTTTCCTCCAAGATGCATGGACTGCAGTGCTTTGGTTCATGCAGCTGTTCCCTTGTTTCCTACTCATTTCTTCTCTTAAGGCAGAATGCTTTACAGATGTTTTCAGTGAACCAGGTTGGGAGCGATGGGGTTTTGACTTGGTTTAGATTAATGCTCTTTCTATATTTAATTCAATGAATTGCAGTAATAATAGCATTAGATTATATGCTTAAGAAATTTTTTTTTTTTTTGTAGACTATGCCAGTTGCAATGGCATTGTTGAGAGATGTTCATAACCTCTGTCCCAAAGAAGTCTTAACATTTATTTTAGACTTAATCAAGTATAATGACAACAGAAAAAATAAGGTAAGGTACTTTTCTTAATGAATATTAGTGAAACTACACATTGATATTTTGTTCTTGTAAAGAAACGTTTAGTCACTGATGAGTCCATGGTAGTTGAAATTTCTGGAGGTAGAGACATGCAAATAAGATTGGTTAGAATAATCAGTGGAAGGAAAATGAAATTGTTCTTCACACACATTTTACAATGTGGAGAGAGTGATGCATCACATTTTAGGGTAGCAACTAAACCTGGTTTTGGTGAAGTCTGACGGCACAATTATATTTATATTCTTCTTTCTTTTACCAAAAGGCAGTTCCCTCTTGGAGTTAACTTGTTCATTGCGAACTTTACCTTTTGTTACTATTGTGTGTATTTATTCATTTATTTGACAAAGAGTTATTGAATACTGTGAGTCAAAATTCTTTCATTACACTAGTTATCAATCCATGTTTTTAAGAATATATGCTATGCTAGGTAGTTTACTGGGAGCTCTGGTAGTGTAGTGCCTAAGGCACTTGACTGCTAACCAGAAGGCTGGAGGTTCAAACCCACCGCCACTCCTCAGAAGGAAGGTTGGTCAATCTACTTCTGTAGTGATACTGCCTCAGAAACCCAAGGAGTGGTCGTTACGAGTCGGGGCTGACTTGACAGCACATAACAGGTAGTTTACCATGTTAAACAGAAAGAAGACATGTTGATCCCATTAGGAACTTTATGTATTTATTAAGTATTTATTGAACAGCTGCTGTTTATCAGTTGATTATCTACCCAAAACACACTGTCTTACAGTTTTGGTGGGTCATGTGTTTGGGAGTGGTTTAAATGGGTGGTTTTAGATCAGGATTTCTCATGAGGTTGCAATCAAACTGTTGGGCCATCCCCTGAAGGCAGGACAGGGCAGGGCTGGTGGATCTACTTTATTAACAGGAGTCCTCAGTTCCTTGCTGGTTGATGGGTTCTCACAGCTTGCCTGCTGGCTTCATGTAGACTGAGTGATCCAGAGAGGCCAAGGAGGAAGGCACAATGCTTATTATGCCCTTACATATCACTTCTGCTAGATTCTGGTAATTAAAAGTGAGTCACTAAGTTCAGCACACATAGCGAGAGGAATTAGTTTTCACCTTTCAAAGGAAGTATGAAAAAAAAATCGGTGGATGTACTTTAAATAAACTGCCACGGGAAATTTTCAGGAGGAAAAAAGAGTGCAAGGAAGGTAAACTCTTTGAGTCCATATAGGTTGGGCAGTGTTTTTATTCTACTCTTTTACTTGATGTTTGGCTGGGTTTAGACTTTGGGGTGAAAAATAACTTTTCCCTCAGATTTTTATTTTTTTTTCCATTTTGTTTTGTCATTGAGAATATACACAGCAAAACCGATTCAGCAGTTTCTACATGAAAAATTCTGTGACACTTCCTCACCTTGGGCATCCCCACCCTCCTTTTCTAAGTTGTTCCTCCCCCATTAATATAAAGTTCCCCCTAAGGTTCCTCGCTAATCTTTCTCTCCAGTTGCTTTTGTCACCTTGATCCCACGTGGGCAGTTCTGAAAAGAGCACGATGCTCAAGGTAGACCTTTTTCACTGGTTAAAGGAAACCATTGTTTGTTTGCTTTTGAGGAGACTTCATCACTAGTTAAAGTAAACCATTGTTTGTTTGCTTCTGAGGAGACTTCAGGGGACATTTTTGGTTAAATTTAAAGATGATTTCGAGAGCCCTCGGAGTTTTGAAAGCATTGTTCTATTATCTTTGCTAGTGCTAGTGGGAGAAGCCCAGCGCCCTTTGCATTTCTGTTCTTTTGTGTGTGCAGCACATGTTTTCTCTCTGGAAGATAGAAAACATACGTTGCAGCATGTGTTTCTCTTCAGTGTCCTGAAATCTCACTGGCGTTCCCCCTGTGAATTGGGAACAACATTGGGCTAGATGGTCCGTGGGCCCTTTCAGTCTGAAATCTTATGTTTTTTGGCTCTGGGACATGGTATGGAATTAATTTTTTAAAACAGTTTCCCCCTCCATTTCCTCTGCTTCTCTTTCTAGAATTTATTGATATGTTTTCTCCTATTCCAACCTTCTAATTTCTTTATGCTGTTCTCTCCTATTTCTTATCTTTGTATGCTCAAAATTTTGGAATATATTTAATTTTTTTATCTTTCAGTTTAATTTTGATTTTTATTCTCTGTGAGTTTCATTTTTCTTTGACAAATAATTTTATACGCTTAGAAGGTATATTATTTGTTGGTTCTCAGACAATATAAATTTTTATTTCTGCTGGTTTTCTGGATGCTATTATTTTCTCCAAGTTGCTTTTCTTTTTCCCCGAGCAAATATAATATTGTGTTTTATTTATTACCATGGATGGAGAGGAGGGTTCAGAAGCTTCCCTTTGGTCTTTTTTTTTTTAATGTTTTATTGTGATTTGGGTAAAAATTTACAGAGCAAATTGGTTTTACCATTCAACAGGTCATACACATTCTGTTTTGTAACATTGATTGCAATCCCCACAATTTAACAGTACTCTTCTCACTCCCACTCTGTGTTTTCCATGTCCATTTATCCTTCTGTCCTATCCTTTCCTGCCCTGAGCTTTACCCCTGCGCAAATGCTGCCCTTTGGATCTGGGTGGTTGATTGCTCCAGGGAGTGCTACTTCTTTGGTGTTACTGTTCAGCTTAGAGGTCTGTCTGTTGTTTGGCTGAAAGTTGAGCCATGGCATGAATTCATTCCAGGCTTGAAGGGTGACTAAGGGCCATGTCTCAGGGGTTACACTCAAACCAAAACCAAACACACTGCTGTCGAGTCAGATCCGACTCATAGCAACCCCTCCTTGGGTTTCTGAAGTGGTATCACTACGGAAGTAGATTGCCCAACCTTCCTTCCTGGGAGGGACTGGTGGGTTTGAACTGCCAGCCTTCTGGTTAGCAGTCAAATGCCTTAGGCATTATGCCACCAGAGCTCCTAGGGGTTACACTAGTCTGTATCAAACCAGTAAGCCTGGTCTTTTTTATGATTCTGAGTTTTATTCCACATTTTTCTCCCACTCTGTCCAGGACTTTTTATTGTGATCCCTTTCAGAGCGTCCTATAGTGGCAGCCGGGTTCCATCTAGTTCTTCTGGTTTAAAAGTCATGGAGGCTGAGGTTTGCATGGTCCTCCTTTGGACTAATTGTTCCCATGAGTGTTTTGTTTTTAATTTTACTGTGACAATATATATATAGGCCCAAAATTGCCACATTAACCATTTTCAAGTGTACAATTCAGTGACATTATTTAAACTCATATATTGTGCAACTATCACCATCATCCATATCTAAAATTCTCCCATCGCTCCAAACAGAAACTCGGCAACACTCAAGCATCGACTCCCCATTCCCCCTTCCCCCAACGCCTGATAACCACCGGTAAATTCTTGTCTTTGTGCGTTTGCTTGGCCCAGCTATCGCATTGTGTGCATATACTACGTTTTGTATATCCAGTCATCTGTTGATGGACACTTGTGTGGTTTTTTTACTTCTGGCTACTGTAAATAATTTTGCAGTGAATATTGGTATAAAGTCTGTTTGAGTCCTTGCTTTCAAGTCTTTGGAGCATATTCCTAACAGTGGACTTTCTGGGTGATATGAAAATTCTGGTCTCTATTTTTTTATGTTGATTCTTCCTTCAAATTGCTGGTGAGCCTTGGCTGTGTGTTTATATAGACAGTAGAGCACTAACTAGCTGATTGGAAGCTGTGGTTATCAGCAGGAATTGGGGACTGTGGTTGTTGAAGAATCTGGCTGGTTACTGTCTTGGTTCTGTAGTGCTGCTGTAACAGACATACCACAAATGTATGGCTTCTTACAGTTTAGAAGGCTTGAAGTCCGAGTTCAGAGTGCCACCTCTAGGGCCTGGGTGAAGGTCTCTCGACCTTGGGCTTCAGCTCTGCCTCCTGTTGCAGGCCCACTTGAGCTGGAGGCTTTTTCTGACTCAGGCAGCTGCTGGCTGCTGAGGCTGACAAACCCAAGATCGACAGGTAAAATGGCACAGTCCCAAGAGTAGCAGACAACCCAGCAGGCTACCAGTTCAAGTCTAGGAAGAGTCCTAAGATTGGCAGGCAACATGGCAGGATCTAGATGTGCCAAAAGCTAGAGACCTTTCCCAAAGCTTCTCCTTATGTACTAGAAGCAGGCCACACCCTAAGAGCAGCTCTCTAGCTGCTCACAGCAGAATTCACCATAAGATGATTACAGTCTCATCATGGGGAATAATATCCAGCTGTCCAGCCACTCAAATACACAGCCCAGCCAAGGTGACACACAACTTTATACCACAGTTACTATAAGGAAGCCTTACATGTAATAAGTATTTGTTCAGTAAATTAATGTATCACTGGTCAGTGAATTTTTTTCATTTTATTTTCCAATGTCACTCTCTAGAGTACATAGTTGAGTACTTAAGAGAACTTGCTTATGTTTTCAGATAAATTATGTTTTGAATTACACATATTGTATTACCTTTTAATAAAAATGTGAATTTTGTTATTGTCTCTTAAACTATTCTTTGGCTTAGTTTTCAGATAACTATTATCGTGCAGAAATGATAGACGCCCTTGCCAACTCTGTCACACCTGCAGTCAGTGTGAATAATGAAGTTCGAACTTTGGATAACTTGAATCCTGATGTGCGGCTCATTCTGGAAGAAATCACCAGGTTTCTGAATATGGAAAAACTTCTTCCAAGTTATAGACATACCATCACTGTCAGGTATGATTCAGTTCTTTACTTGTTTTTATAATAATAAAACATTTACCTCATTATAGAAAACTGGGAAAAAAGAGAAAATGAAAATCTGAGGATTTACCACCCATTTATAAATTGATAATGTTTTAGAGACTGTCCTTAAAGCGTTTTCTCACTCAGTAACCCTATAACTTCTTATACTTGAGATTATATTATATATATAGTTTTTATATTGTTCTCATAAACATGTTCTCATGTCATCTGAAATTCTTCAAAAGCATTATTTTTGATGTCTGCATAATATTCTAGAGTGCTGGTGGTGCGGTGGTTAAAGTCTTCGACTGCTAACCAACAGGTTGGTGGTTCAGATCCACCAGCCACTCTGCATGACAAAAGATGAGGCAGTCTGCTTCTGTAAAGATTTACAGCCTTGGAAACCCTCTAGGGTCTATCTGAGTCAGAATCGACTGGATGGCAGTGGGTTAGGTTTTGTTTTTGCATAATTTTCTATCTCATTGGATATATTATAAAAGTCCCTATATTTTCAGACTTTTTAGATAGTGTTTTTGCTTCTACCAACTTTTTATGTAACTATCAAAAATTCTGTTTCTTTGCAAGTTTGTTAAAAGTTGATTTACTGATTCAAACGTTTTGCACCTTTCATATATATTTTGACTAAACCATGTTACTGAAACTTCTGGAGAAAATATCTAAATTATGTTTCATTTTAAATAATTTTTTTTTTATTAGTAATGATGTTGTTATGAGCCACATAATGGAACTTGAGGCTTTGAGTTTCCAAACAAGTTTTGGAATTTGTTTTGTTTTAAGAGAATTGGGCTATTAATTTTGAAGTTTTATGATCATTGCAACAATTTAGTATTAAAAAACTGAAGGACAGATTTAAATCACATCAGTTGTTCAGTTTACTGCCACAAATTAACCTGTGCTGCTTAGGAAATAGGAGCTCTGGTAGCTTAGTGCCTAAGGCACTTGACTGCTAACTAGAAGGCTGGTGGTTCAAAACCCACCAGCCGCTCCTCGGAAGGAAGATGGAGCAATCCACTTCCGTAGTGATACTGCCTTGGAAACCCAAAGAGGGGTCACTATGAGTTGGGTCCGACTCGACGGCACATAACGGCAACAACAAGCTTAGGAAATAAATTTGGTTCAGTATACTTAAACACAAGGTTTTACACCTATTCCTCACTTACTGACTGTCTCATTATCCAACATTTCCAATTTATGACAATAGTAAACATCTGTTTTGTGAATTAATGACATATGTCAGGTAATAATGAATATCAGGGTGCGAGGTGAGAGTGATGCTGGATGTGATGGTTAAGGTTATGTGTCAACTTGGTTGGGCCTTGATTCTCAGTGCTTTGTCAGTTATGTAACGATGTTGTCATCTTCACTCTGTGATTGGATGTGGTCATGTTCCATTTCACATAATGCCAGTTTTCACACATCGACTTGCTTTCTGGAACCTAACCGTGGTGATAAGTGAGCTGTGGTGTAATTGCTTTTTTATCCCCTAGTTGTTTGAGAGCCATACGGGTGCTTCAGAAGAATGGACATGTGCCAAGTGATCCAGCTCTTTTTAAGTCTTATGCTGAATACGGCCATTTTGTGGACATTAGGATAGCAGCCTTGGAAGCAGTTGTTGATTATACTAAAGGTAATGTTTTACAAATGCATCTCAACTCATTGCCATTGAGTCGGCTCTGACTCATTGCAACCCCTCCTTGGGTTTCCGAGGCAGTATCACTACGAAGTAGATTGCCCAACCTTCCTTTGGAGGAATGGCTGGTGATTACATGTTCATATTTTTTAATAATAGTTCTTTGTTGTGTTTAAAGTGAGAGTTTACACAGCAAATTAAGTTCCTATTTAACAGTTTTTACAGACATTATTCAGTGATGTTACATTTTTCACAATGTGTCATTATTTTCTTCATTCCACTCTATTTGTACCATTTTAGTAATCTAGTTTTCTTGCCTATTTATCTTCTCATTTTCTCTTTAGAGTATTATTTGACCATGTGGTCTCTTATAGCTGGTTTTTCTTAAAGAAGCTCATTACTCAAGGGTTATACTTTTTATTTTATGAGCCAATCTGTTATTTAGCTAAAAGGTGAGTCCTAGGGATAATTTCAGTTTAAGGTTTAAAGTATGTCTCAAGAAGTCCTCTGTCTCATCCAGTCTAGTGAATCTAGACTTGTTAAGAATTTCAGTTCTGTTCTACATTTCTTTCCCATCCTGTAAGGTTCCATCTGTTGTGGCCCTGATTCAGAACAGTCAGTAGTGGCAGTTCTTAGTAGTCTCAGCTTATATAATTTTTGAAAAAAATATTTCTTTCTTAAAACCAGGCTTATATGATTGGCATTTTCATATTATGTGCCATACAAGTATTTTCATTTTAAGTTAACTTAGAGAAAATGTTTGGTCCCTGTAGAGTCTGTATGTTGTTCCTGTTGTTAGTTGCCCTTGAGTCCACTCTGACACGGCAGTCCCCCATGCAACAGAGCGAAGCATTGCCGGGTCCTACACGATTCCCACAGTCATTAGTATCTGCTGTGTTTGAGCCCACTGAGTCTCTAGTATCTGCTGTATTGAGCCCACTGAGTCATTAGTGTCTGCTGTGTTTGAGCCCACTGAGTCTTCAGTATCTGCTGTGTTCGAGCCCACTGAGTCTTTAGTATGTGCTGTGTTTGAGCCCACTGTTGCAGCCACTGTATCAGTCCATCTCATTGAGGGTCTTCCTCTTTTTCACTGACCTTCTCCAGAGACCAGTCCCTCTTAATAACATGTCCAGAGTACGTGAGATAAAGTCTCACCATCCTTATTTCTAAGGAACATTCTGACCATACCTCTTCCAAGACAGTTTGTTCCTTCTTTTGACAGTTCATGGTATGTTCAGCACTCCTCCTCCAAACCATAATTCAAATGCTGCCATTTGTCTTCAGTTGTCATTATTCATTGTCCAGCTTTCTTATGCATATAAGGTGATTGAAAATATCGTGGTTTATGTCCAGCACACCTTAGTCCTCAAGGTGACATTTTTGCTTTTTAACGCTTTAAAGAGGTTTTGCAGCACGTTTGCCCAATGCAACCTGTTGATTTATATTTTGACTGCTAAATCCATGGGCGTTGATTGTGGATCCAGTTTTGGCAACTTCAGCCTTTTCTCTTTTTATCATGATGTTGCTGTTGGTCCAATTGTGAGCATTGTAGTTGGTGATCTTCATCAGTAAGTGCTTCGTGTCCTCTCAGTTTCAGCAAGCAAGGTTGTAACATCTACATATTGCGGGTTGTTAATGAATTTCCTCCATTCCTGATGCTGTGTTCTTCATGTAGTCTAGCTTCTCAGATTTGCTGTTCAGCATGCAGAATTAATAAGTATGGTGAAAACATACAACCCTGACACACACCTTTCCTGATTTTAAACCATACCATAGTTCAAATGACTACCTCTTGGTTTGTGTGTAGTGTCTGCATTAGCAATGGTGTCTTCCAGCCTGAGAGCTCTTGTCCCAGCACTGTATCATACAGTGTTTGCTGCTATTCCTAAGGTTTTCCCTGGTCAGTTTTTTCAGAAGTAAATCATCAGTTCCTTCTTCCTAGTCTGTCTTACACTGGAAATTCCACTGAAACCTGTCCCACGGTGGGTGACCCTGCAGTGGCATAGCTCCCAGCATCAGAGCAACACGCAGACTGCCATAGTATGACAGATTGGCAGCTGGATGGTGGAAGAATCTGTATAAAAGTGTTAAATGAGAAAAAAACAAAATTATAGTTTTCTTGGCTTTTCCCAGAGGTTAGTATATACTTCTGTACCTTTTGTTACATGTTATTTTAAGAAATAGGAAAAGACTTTTGAGAAATTTCCACCTAGCATTGTAAGGATTGAAGAAAACATCTTGTACCTGTGCAAAAATTTTTGTCTGTGAAAGCAGACCCAGAGACTTAAACAATGATCTTGGTACAGGGATTAGACAAGACGTCATGAACATGACAAAAACATAAGACCAAAAACTGTGTAACAGAATAATACATATTCAAAATATTTCAAAAACTCAGAGGAAAAAGGTGAAGAGACAAAATGTTAAAAGAAAAATAGTGAGTCCTGAAAACTGGAATGGATAGTAAAAAAAAAAGTCATGATCTAAGAAAGAACACTTCAAAAGTCCTAAGCTTGACAGCCTGATGAAGTTTCAAATTTAAGGTTAAGGACAAACTTTGTGGTTCTTAGCAATATCTGAAGTAGGTTATTTTACAGGATAAGGGAGTAATCTGGCCCCTGACTTCTTCAGAATATGAAAAGTCAGAAGACAATAAACCAATACCTACATAATTTTTACGGGAAATTATGATGTAAGATTTTCTGCCTCTCCAAGTTGTTGCTCACATAGCTTTGGAGGCTTGGAAACACATTGCCTATGTAGAATTCTTAAAACAAAATTTCCTGAAGAGCCTTTTTCAGCTCTGTCAATGAATCAAAATAAATAATTCAAGATTGGTGAAAGTGTGAAATGAAAGATGCTAGTGATAAGCAACTATACTTGTAAAATAGTTAAGCTTAATCAAAACATTAAAAAGACCAAGATTACTGGGGAGATAGAGACTGGTGAAACCTCGGAGACTTTGGCCCTTAGTTACCCTTTGGGCCTGGAGTTGGACTCATTCCTGTGGTTTAACTTTCAGCCAAACAATAGACAGGCCTGTGAGCTGAACAATTACACTAGGGAGTTGCACTCCTTAGAACAGTCAACCATGAGAGATCAGAAGGGCAGCATTTGTGCAGGGAGAAAGTGAGGAAAGCAGGAATGCATAGGTAAGACAGAGAAAGGTTAGCCACAGGGAGGAAGTGTAGCCACAGGGAGGAAGTGTAATAAGCACAAGGAGGAAGTGAGAAGAGAGCTGTTGCATTGTGGGGGTTGTCATCAGTGTCGTGAAACAATGTCCATGAACTGTTGAATGGAAAACAAATTTCCTCTGTAAAATTTCACCCAAGCCACAATAAAAAGATTAAAAAAAAAAAAAAAAGAGGAGGTTAATTATATGGTAAAATAGTTATCAAATATAATGCAATTTTAAATAATAATTATACCAAATAATATACAACTATAAAGTACCTGAGTTATTTGACTGCTAACCAGAAGGCTGGTGGTTCAAACCCACCACCCATTCCTTGGAAGGAAGATTGGGCAGTCTACTTCCATAGAGATACCGCCGTGGAAACCCAAGGAAGGCTTGCTATGAGTTGTGATCAACTTGATGGCAGTGAGTTTGGTTTTTTTGGTATAAGAAATATGTAAATGTAATCTATATCTAAAATGCCAAATTATTCCATCAAAATATAGGAAATGTTAAAAAGAAAAAAATACTTCTTGTCTTACCGTAGAAAGAGAGGCGGGTGTGAGGGAAAAATAGTATTTTACTATGTTTTAGCTGAAGGTTTACATAGCAAATTAAGTTCCCATTTAACAAGTTTTTGTTTTTTTTTTTTACAGATTGTTCCATGGCATTGGTTACATTTTTCACACTGTGCTAGCATTCTCTTTTTTCCATTCCTGTTCCTTTTCCATTCATCTAGCTTTCCTGATACTGGTTGATTTAAAAATGTTAAGTAGAGAAATATATACTCAGACCATTATAGAACTACAGAGCCTTTATAGAACATTGTTCTATACTATATATGCATTCTATGCTGTATATACATTGTTCTACAGTATAGAACAATGCAGTGTGTAGATTCTATATTTGGTTTAAGTTCATGTAGGATATATACACTATACTGTACTTACCTATCCATTAGTTTAAGTTCAGAAAAAATTGTCATTTGTTAATACTTTTTTTTTTTTTAATTTTTATTTTAAGAGGTAGTTTTACATTAAACGTAACGTGTACATTTGGTTTCATTCCCGATTCGCCATGTCCAAACCTAACCTAGACTCTTCCCCTCCCTACCCTATAACCCTCCCCTTGTGCCCCTCACATTCATGCACTCCTGTTTGTCCTGCATTTCCTTAGTTTGAATGTTGGTCCTCTGGTGTCCCATGGTCTATTGCTCTAAGGGATGTGTTACCATTGAGTGTGTGGGTGTGTCAACCTGGGTTAAGTGGTCTGCATGTACATCTTGTTAGCTATTGGGCTGAGAACCTCCCCCTGGAGGTGAGGTTTATTCCAGGTGCAGAATGTGTTCCAGGGCCATAGTATTGGGAGACTCACCAGATTTCATCTGACCAGTAATTCTGGTCATTATTGAGTTTCTGGGTTTTGTTCCATGTTTTTCCTCCTACTCTGTCCAGGATCCAGGATCTCCAGAGTTGATTCTTTCCTGAATGGTTGTTCCCTGTCTTTTTTTTACTAGAATTAAAACAGCCTTTGTTTTAAGAAATGATGGTAACAATAGTGATTTTTAAAAATAAATATCTTGGGAAAAACAACATAATTCTGTATCAATTCCCAGTTTTGTTTTGGCATTTTGATAGTTCTAAAATCTAGAGTCATGACATTCACCAAATATGCCACTTTTTCCGACCTTCTTTCCTAAGGTGTGTGGATGATACTCACTGTGTTAGAAATACAAAGATTCTTTCATGAGCTAGCACAACCTAAAATTAAATAGAGTGACAAGTATTAGGGTTTCCAAAAGGATGTCAAACTAATTGATATAAAAGAGTGGTGTTTATATGTAATCCATAGATTTAGACTTTAATGATTGCTAAATAGTAAATTTAAATATTGGTACTTAAAGTAGAAAATGGAAAATATTAGAAAGAAAATTCTGGGTATAAAAGGAAAGCTTTCAAATTCATAAAAGCAAAACTTGTTGAAAAGGTGAATGACATGGTTAATGAGTCAGTTTGTTTATGTCATTTCCATTCCTATCACAGTTTTTATGATTGTTTTTTATGTTATGTTGAAAAGTTAAGACTTCTATTTAGTCCTAAATGGAAGAAACTACTTGGGGAAAAAAACAGTTGAACATATGTATAATACATGTATAATACATATGTATAATATTGCTGGGTTAACGTTGTATATTAAACCTCCCTATAATTTGTTCTAAACATTTAGAAACAAGCCTTTGTTGAAACACATTTTGTCCAATTAGAGTTACTCTTTTCTAACCCAGGGTCTTTAATAATAAATTTATTATAAATTATAATTGGCTTGATGCTGTTTGCCATTGATTTGAGCTTTAATGAAAAACATGTACTTGGTTCTATTTATAACAACTACATGTAAGCACAAAGCTTATAAAAGTTATGAAGTTATTACCCATTGCATGAGAAATACGAAAACTTGTGTATTGGCCTTCAGCTCTGGTTGGGAATCTAACTAAGGCAGAATCCTAAATATTATGCATAAATTCCCTACTTGCCACTTGTTATTTGTTATAGTTAACAACAAATACATTTCCTTATTTTCAGTGGACAGGAGTTATGAAGAACTACAGTGGCTACTTAATATGATTCAGACTGACCCTGTACCATATGTAAGGTTAGTTTTTTGTGTTATATTTTTCTGGTTTCACAAGTTCTAAAATGAATTGAATGTTTTCAGTTGATTATATGTGGAACCAATTGTATGTTTTTTTTTTTAAATATGGGATATGTTGTGTGTTTATTCATGTCCATTTTTATTTGATTAGCCTTTGGAAAAAATATTTTAAAAACATATTGTTAATAAAGTTTACTTCACTCGCTGAATACTAGACTATTTTCTTGTTAATCCCTTCCTTTCTTCATCCTCTTATGCTGTATCCTACTCATACCAGTAAACGTTTTCTTTTTCAAATCTTATTTTGATCACATTTTCCATTTTCAGAGAACACAACACTATTCAGGTAACTTCTCACAAGAGATACAAACTTTTAATCGTAGGGTTTCACTATTCTCTGTGGGGGTACTTTTCTTAATGGATTCTTCTCAAATAAAGCTTACCTCCATGCTTTATAAAGATATTGTAATAATGAAGTCTGTGTTCATTTTAAGAGCTCTGGTGGCGTAGTGCCTAAGGCACTTAACTGTTAACCAGAAGGCTGGTGGTTCAAACCCACCAGCCACTCCTCGGAAGGAAGGTTGGGCAATCTACTTCCATAGGGATACCACCTTGGAAACCCAAGGAGGAGTTGCCATGAGTCGGGTCCAACTTGACAGCACATAACAACAATAACATGGTTCATTTTATTATCTCAAATGTAGGCTTCTTCTTGGCCTATGTGTAATTTTTTGCTCCATTTAAAATTTTTATACTTATTAACCAATCTTTGATGCAGATTTTTCTAGGGTGAAATATTCATTTCAGGAATGAATATTCATTTTAGGAAGTAGGAGGGAAAAGGTAAGTTAGAATGACAAAGGTAGGTTGGTTAGAGTCAGGTTTTAGAGGACTTCATTATCCAGTAAGGAGATTTTAAAAACAATAAAACTGCCAGAATTTTTTAGTGAAAAAACAAATAGTAAATATTTAAAATGCAATATTAATGTCTTTTGAAACTAACCTAAACACAAAGCTAGACCTAAGAGGGGAGATGATACAATAGGAAGAAGAAACTATAGATAGCATTCAATGTTTTATTAAATGGTCAGCAATAATAATAATAATAATAATTTTTTAACTTTTCAGGCATAAGATTCTAAACATGTTAACTAAGAATCCACCCTTTACTAAGAACATGGAGTCTCCTTTATGCAATGAAGCCCTGGTCGATCAGCTTTGGAAACTTATGAACTCTGGTGAGAGAGCACTGTTACTGTTCTTTTGTTTTTAAGTTTTTATTATTGAATTATGTAAGTTTATAACAGGTTTTCAAGAACTGAAGTAATTTTTGTCTTAAAACAGAAAAGAAAAAGACCATTTACCACACCTGTTGTGAAGTAGTGGGAATGATGACATTTGTTAATGGTAAACTCACTCACTTCACCCCAAAAATTTGTTGAGGGCACTGAAATATGATTTTATGTGAAGGTGTCTTAAGTGTTTGAAGAACTATAAACATGAACCTATAATATATTATTATTATATTATTATTATTATTAATTCAGAAGGTTACAAAGGGCTGAAGAATAAATCTCACCTCTTCTGTAATTTTTAAAAAGTACATATTGGTCTCTACACATTGTTCTGCACCTTGGAAATCATGGGATGTCATCACAGTTTTAATTGACATTATTTAAATGAGGTCAATGGGCAGTACACACACTGTTTAGAAACAGCTGGAACCAGTTTGCTGAGGGTCCAACTTCAGACCAATTATTGACTCAGTGTATAACTTGTCTGTTTTTTTTTTTCTCCTAAATTTTTTGTATTTTGTAGTTGAGACTATACACAGGAAAACATACACCAATTCAACAGTTTCTACATATACTATTTAGTGATGTTGATTACTTCACTGAAATGTAACCAAATTGAGAACAGTATGTCACTTGTCCTCAAGGTAATCAGAAGGCAACATACAAACCGCTTTATACTGTTATTATCAAATTGCTTTCTAAATGCTTTCCCTAATCCCTAGAAGAATGATTGCTTCTGTTTACAGACACTTTTATGTTTTTGCTCCTGTAGTACCATAAAAGGTGGTGTTATTACTGTGTTTCAGATGCAGAAGGGTGAGGCATTCAAGTTTAGGAACTTGTAAAGGATTATTCAACCAGTTAACATCATTAAGGATCATTAACGAGTTATGTGTAATGAACTATCCTGTATTGAATATGTTCTTAACAAGAATACATGTTTCCTGGATTATGGAAGATAAAAATGTTAGGAAAGCATACTGAAGTGCAAAAAAAGTCTCATCACCTTTTAGGGAAGATGTCTTAGAAGAAATGAATGTGTGTTTAAGATTAACGGGAAAATTTGTATAAAACGTTGAAAGGTTGCGGTCATACAAATTCAAGCTCTGATTGATATTTAGTATTGAATTTTTATACTGTGCAGTTTAAAGGACAGTTGCTTCTTTGCTTGGGAATTCTCTGTACCAATAATCCAAACAAAACAGTGAGATCAGTGAGTCTGTAGTCATAAACAATTTATTACTCAGTTCATTAGATTTATAAATAAGTGGGAACAGTATGAACAGTGGGAATAGCATTAATAATTGGGAGGAGTTTCTGTTTTGGGAGAGCATTGGGCTTTCCACTGACTGGGAAGAGGGACTAGAGAACTGCTCCCTTCCCTTCCAAGCCCAAATCTCTAGGGTACATGAGTGAATACCAAGTTTGAGAGAGTCCCTTTTTTGTTTAAAAATTCTGTAAAAGTTTTTTTTTTTTTTTTTTGTATAAGAAAACTAATGTAATTATGGTACAGCGTTTATCTGCAAAAATACCAAACAAGGAAAATATTACACAATTCCGTTACATCACCACTATGAAGATTTGGGTACTTTGGCCTTTAGGAGGAAAAAAAGAAAAAATAGTATGCAGTAGCTGCAGTTGTAGCGAGGTTTTAAAATGTCATCTTGTCATGAAAATTTTACACATTGCTCTGTTACCTTCATCAAAGTTAATGTTTTAAGAATTGTAATAGGAGTTCGCCTGGAACAAAGGCAGCTAGGACCTCATCCAGCCCCTAGATCCAGGCGAAGCCTACCTGCTCTTCACAGGGCTGCTGAGAACCTGGCTCTCTGAGATAAGTGTTCACCTTGATTGACTTTTCTGGAAGAAACAAACAATAGGCAAGTGAGATTGAATTATACTCATTCCTCTAAAAAACTTTTAGAAAACCAAACTCACTGCCATCAAGTTGATTCCAGCTCATAGCGACCCCCTTTGGGTTTCTGAGGCAGTAAATGTTTACAGAAGTAGATTGCCCAATCTTCCTTCTGCAGAGTGGCTGGTAGGTTTGAACTTGCCAACCTTCTGTTTACCAGTCAAGTGCCTTAGGCACTGTACCACCAGAGCTCTTTCTCATATCTCTCCCAAGAAAAACTCACTGCTATCGAGTCAATTCCAACTTATAGTGACCCCTTTTGGGTTTCTGGGGTGGTATCTCTATGGAAGTAGATTACTCAGTCTTCCTTCTGAGGAGTTGCTGGTGTGTTTGAACCACCAACCTTCTGGTTAGCAGTCAAATGTGTTAGGCACTATGCCACTAGAGCTCACTCGTTTCTCTAGTCTTGTCTTATTCCAAAATGGATTTAAGAGGTGTTGTTATGAAATCCATTGAACTCATTTAAAATATATGGCAAAGATGATCATTGCAGTTTTCTTAAGAGATGACCATCAGGTACTTTTGAAGAATTGAAGTTTGTTTGCTTAACTAATTTCAGAAACATTTCAGTGAGAGATTGCTTGTGGCAGAATGCACAGAAACAGGATGTTCAACACAGAAATCAGTTTGTGAGTGACACAGATGAACTAAACCAAACCAAACTCACTGCCATCAAGTTGGATCCAACTCATAGTGACCCCTCCGTTGGGTTTTCAAGGCGGTATCTCTATGGAAGTAGATTGCCCACTCTTCCTTCAGAGGAATGGCTAATGGGGTTGAACCGCCAGCCTTGTGCGTAGCAGTTAAATGCCTTAGGCACTATACCCCCAGAGCTCCTTACAGATGAAGTAGGAAGTTATATCATAGATTTTAATATGCAGATAACCAATGAATTTTAATCATATTCATTTTAGAAATACACCAGAGAGATTGGGAACTGAGGTATAGGACCTGGGGGCTATTGGTAACCAGAAGGGTTCCAGATGTCTAACCACTGAGATTCCAGACTGCCTGGTCTCTGTAGCCTTCCTGGTATGTGGCATTTCCACTTAGCTTTGCATTATGGACCTATTTCTCCAACAGCTTTGCTTTGAAATTACACATACACAGATATCTTATCCCATTCTTGAGGTTAATTTGCCCATTTAACTTTTGCTAATACTTTATTTTTTAAACTTTAAAAGTTTAGCAAAATTTAAAGAATAGTACTATGAACACTCAAATACTTTTCAGCTTGATTCGCCAGTTCTTAACGTTTTGCCACATTAGCTGTATCTCTTTCTCTTTCTAAATCATTTGAAAATAGCTTCATCATGATCATTCTCCCGAAATACTTCAGTAAACATTCCTAAGAGGAGGAAGATGCTTCTAAATATCCACAATACCATCATCACATGCTATGCCTATATTCAGATTTCCTCAGTTGTCCCAAAAATGTTCTTCATGGTTCCTATCTGTTATTGTTAGCTGGCACTCATGGCAACCCTAGGTGTGCAGAGTCAGCTGCTCCTTAGGGTTTTCAAGGCTGTGGCCTTTCAGAAGCAGATCACCAGGCCTGACTTGTAAAGGGCCTCTGGGTGGATTCTAACCACCAGCCTTTCAGCTAGGTAAGTGCTTAACTGTTTGCACCACCCTGGAACTCCTGAGCAGCTTTCAAATGAATATTCCTCCACAGGAAGAGGATAAACATTTTAAAAGAGACTCCTTCAGGTCAGGTGATTTTTGTCCCTAACAGCTTAAGAATCTTAAATAAATATTTTATGGGACTTCCGATAAGATGGTGGAATAGGCAGACAAGCAACACAGGTGCTCTTCAACAAAGAAAAGAAAAACCGATTGACAGAGATAACAGAAGATAATCCTGGAGCCCTGAGCTTTGAAAGGAACTATACAGGAGTGGATTAGGTGCCAACTAGTGGAAACACCTGAATGAAAGCAGTGAGTACAGAGATGGTCGGAGCTGCAGACTGTCAGCCACTCTGACAGGACCAACAGCCTGAATATTTCCAAGAGATGTTGGGACCTGAGAATTGACCTAAAGATCAGCCCTGGTCACCAAGGGCTGCAGGATTGACTGCACTGGTGGGCAAGACTAGAATGGGAAACAGCAAGAAGGGTGACAACCTGAGCTGTTGACTTTCTGCTGTCTGGAGGGCGCAGCCAGTTTGATTGTTTACGTGTGGCAGGCATTTTAGATATTTAAAGTGACTGAGGGCACAGCCATATTGGATATTTAAAGTGACCGAGGGCACAGCCATTTTGAATGTTTATAAATGGTAGCCATTTAGATATTTAAAGTGACTGAGGGTGCAGCCATTTTGAACCTTTATAAGTGGCAGCTGTTTTGGATTTTAAAGTGACAGCATTCTCATTCAGATTCCAGGGACCTAAGAATAGGCTCCATTTGCCAAGGTCAGCAGGGCATATGAGAGACTGATAACAGGAAAGGAGACAGGTGGTGAGTGTATAAGTGCCGTCAACTAATGAATAGAGAACAGCACAGTACCCCGCTTGCGTAGTTAACATACAAAGAAAATGAAAATTGTGGGCAAGTCACTCCAACATACAATCACCAATTAAATATAAACACAAAAACATCACAATGCTTTGGAGACAACAGAGCATCACAGTCCAAACAAAGAAGCACAATAAAGCAGGAGAAACAGGGGACCAAAATACAGACCCAAAACACATCCCTGAGGAAGATGCAGCACTGGAACTCCCAGATAAGTAATTCAAAAGAACTCTATTTAGGTATCTTCAACAAATTAAGGACAAATCAGGGAAAACACAGAGAAAACCCTAGAACAATTTTGAAAGACAATACAAGAACAAAATGACAAAATAAACGAAAAATTAGAAATGGTACAAAATCTACAGACAGAAATCCAAAAGATTAATACTACATTTTCAGAAATAGGTAAAACATTGAATGGGCAAAGGAACAGGATTGAATCAATGGAAGACAGAATTGGTGAGATTGAAGGCAAATACCTGAACACTTCTTTGGAAAGGGATCAATCAGAAA